AAATATAATTATTTCTTCAAAATTATTTTGTTTAAAATTTCAAAAATTTGTAAAATTCCGAAAAATAAAATGAAACTTATAGAAAAGTGGAATAATAAAAAAATGATTAAATCAGACTAGTCAAAATTATGATGAACAATTCAAAAACTATTAATTGAAATTTTAAACAAAATAATTTTTACGTTTTTTAAAATTGTTTAAGTAAATCATAAACTAATGAATTTCTGTGGATTTTAAACTTCATTCTTTACAATTTCATATTGTGAAAAAATCAAACTTACACATTTTTAGAAATTTTAAATAAATATTCGGCATTTTACAAATTTTTTGAAAAAAAATCATTATTTTATATTTTTTGATAACTTCATAAATTTTTGTTAAACTTTTTTAAATCTTTCTTTTGTATATTTTCTTGTGAAAAAGCTACAAAACAATTAATTGTTATATTTCGTATTTTTAAAAATTTAACAATTTTCTTTCAAAAAAATTAAGTCATAAAATTAAATATTTTTTGATTTATATTTTTAACTTTTTTTAAATTTGCAAATTTTTTTTAAAACATTATAAAAACATAAGTTTTTCAATATTTTTCATTTGAATAGTTGAAAATATTTTTACAAGAAAATATCGAAATTTTTACAAACCTTTTTCAACTTTTTTACGTTGAGAATTATCGTCATTTTGAATTTCTTGAGCTGTTATTAACTGTCCAATTTCATTCAGCGATATAATTATTTCACTGTTATCATCTTTCGGTATTTTTGTATTAATAATTTTTGTTAATTTATTTTCGCAGCTATCACTTGTCTTTAACGCATAATTTGACGTTTTTTGCGCTACTTCCGTAAAATTTCCATAATTTTTGCCATTGATCATCGCTTCAACGCTAGCAGCTAATTGTTCTTTCTCATTAATTACGACGTAAGGTTCACTTAGACGTTTATTTTTATCCCTTTCTTGCATACTTTCTAGCTGCACTATGTTTATTACGTTTTCATTTTCCCAATCACGTATTCTTTTGCCATTTACCAGGTGATTGTTGGTTGATAATATATTTTGCGGCACAAAATTATCAGTCAAGCATTTCATATTTGTATCATATCTGTACAAAAAAATATGATCAAAAATATAGAAAATGTTCAAATAATATAATAAACATTAAAAAGTGAAGTATACGTTATTTTGTCTTTTTTTTATTTTTTATTTTAAAAATATTTTGAAAAATTAAAAAATTTTTTCAATCATTTATTACAAATTATTTTAAATTTTGCACTAATTGCCTGAAAATATAAACTTTTAGATATTTTTTATGAAATAAATCGGATAAATTTTTTAAATACAGTTTTTCAGGTATGAAAAAGAGAAAGTTAATTTGCATAAAATTCTGAAAATAACTAATATATTGAAAATGAAAATACTTTTTAAACATATTATCACTTTCAGCTGTTGGTGTATCACTTTTTTTATCGTATTCATCTTTGGCTTTGCTAATTATACTGTCACGTGAAATCTTTGTCGAATTTTTGTTTGTTTTCTTCAAATGTTTACGTCTTCGACTTTCTCGATACTTAGCAAAATAAAATATTTTTGATCATAAGTGATTAAGTTAAATCTATAGAAAATTATTAACGATCAATTGAGCTATAATCAATGACAGATTGATCAATCAGTCTAAAATAACCGATGATGATTAATTAAGACAGGATCAAGAAACAAGATTTAGCCATGAAAACCATGCCTATACATAAATTATGGATTATACGTAATTCATAATTCGAACAACAGATAATCTGTTTTAGGAAAATCGATAAAGATTCCAAAATTATCGGCCAGTTTGAAAATAAAAAAAGATAAAAAAATTATCATAAATTTTATTCAGTTCATTTTTGAATGCGTTGTTTCAAAATGCTTTAATAACTCTTACTTTACTTAAAATTGATCAAAATGTCTACAGTAAAAATTGTTTCTGCAAATATTAAGTTAAATTTAGAACAAAAAGGTAAGTTTATCAAAGTTTCAACTTTTTTATTTGCTAATATAAATCAATGAATTGAAAATTTAAATTTAATTTTTTATTGCCTTTGAAAGTTAATCAAATAAGTAATCAATAATCAACAAATAAAATTTATGCATACTTTTTGCATTTGTAAATTGCGCAGATCTTTATTTTCCAGTTTTGTGCCAGTTTGTTGCTTGCAAATAATTAATACTTTTATTGATAAAAGTACCATCAAAGCAACCAGCATAAATGAAAACATTGAATAAAAAATAGATCAGATTTTGATAATTAAGCAAATTTATATTCTGCACAATATTTGCATATGCAAATTTTAAAAATTATCATTTAAAAAATCAAAAATTAAAAAAAGTTATTAAAGAATATAGCATTATCATGTTTAATTATGTTTAAGCAGTTCGTAAATTTCAAAGGTTGGGCAAGAATCGGCCAAGTTTTTTATTTTAATAATTCAATCAGCTGTTGTAGTCATGTTTTCATGTACTGACCACATAAAGTTTAAGAGTTAAATAATGCTCACTTATTTCTCATATATTATGCTAATTTTTTTACAAAAAAAATTTTTTCTGAAAATTTTTGTAATTTTTATCTTTAATTTGTTATTGTTTTTGGAGTTAATTTAATTAAAGTAAAATTAATAAAAGTATAAAAATTTTTATGCTTTGTGAAAAAAATGAACAAGCAATTAACACTTAATTTTTGTTACTGTCATGCGTATAATACGATTAATACTTAATTTTACTTAAAATATTAAACAGTAACTTTATTTAACCCCAAAACCTTTTTGCCTACAATACATTGATTTATGCTTCGAACTTCGCTAGTTAATATGAAATAAGTGAAGCGAGTAACCGATAAAATTCTCCGCTAAACGCTTTACGTATATCGTAAACAAGTCGACGTTTATAACGTTGCTTATACTCGCTACAAATATCCAACAAATCAATCTAAATCGTAAGATTATCTATGAAAAATTCATTTATTTTTAATACGTAATTTCTTAAAGTTAAACAGTTCAAAGAAGTTATTAAAAATATTAAAAAAATGAAAATATAAGGAAAATTATTTTGATTTGAATAATATTTAGTTGGTTATGATTTTATGAATAATTTTTTGTATCTAATATTATTTTTTAATGATTTTTCATATCCATTCTTTGTCCAAGGAAGTTAGCGTTTACTTATATCAAATTTTAAGCATTATTACAGCATCATTTTTCAAAAAAAAGCAACTTAATGATAAAAAATGATGTCAGAGAAGTTATATCCTGCATTAATAATTTCTTAATTTTGAAAGACTAATATTTTTTTCATTTTTAATAAGTACTTTTATATTATTTGTAAATATTAAAATCAATGCAGATTAAAATAAGAGAACTAATTTGTGATTAGAAAGTTTTGAATAAGTTTTAAAAAATAAGTAAGTATTACAAAAATCAAAAAATAAAAAAATATTTTTTAATGTCACTTTTAGCTATTCGAAAACAATATAAATCTTGTATATTTAATTTTATTAGTTTAGTAATATTTATTAGTAACGAAATATGTAGAATAAAATATGCTAAATATTATTATTAATCATACTCAAATAAAATATCACCTCACTTCTGGTTACAAAAATTCGAATAACAGTATCGTGATCAGGTCTTGAACTAGTAAGAGCTTTGTATAATTTTTCAGCAAAATATCGTTGGGTACTATGAGATATCTTTGCTGGAAGACAAAATATTTTTATTATAAAATATTAGTATTAATTAATAATTTAGTTATTGTATACTGACATTGTATATTTGGTCAATCGATTGCATTTTAATTAGCAAGTTATTAATTCGTGCTATCAAGTGTTAATTGATATCTTATCACCAGTGATACATTCATCATTTTAGAATCTATCAATAAAATTTACAATAAAATTTGCACTAGTCTAACAAGCTTCAAACTTACCTATAGTTAGTAATAAGTCTTTGATATTATTGGGAATATTTTCGTTACATCTAATTTGTGATTCGACTGAATACCCATCGATGTTGAGATCAGTATTGAGTTTATCAAAAATTGCAGCAATATGTGGCCAAGAAGTACTGATAAAAAGTTTTTTGAACAAACTTAGATTAGAACTTAGCTCTTCGATTCCACGTGATGCCTGCATTAAAAGTTTATAAATCAGTGGTCATCAAAGGTCAGCCAATTCCAGTTACATATTGTAAATAAGTAATTACATTTAGGATGAACTATATCAACAGGATATATATAAAGGACAAAATATGCTGTTTAAAAAATTTCATATAAATATCGAGTTTTTAAGATCAAGTATATAAGCAGATATGATCGATGTTGGTTAAAAAATTTTTGATCGTTTTGAATGATTGCATAATTAAATTTGTCACAAGCGAATTTATCAAAATATTATACTAAATTTAAAATATGTTATTTAAGTAATTTTACAGTAATTTTTTATTTTTTTAATCTATCATAATAGTGTAATGATAAATTTTAAAATTTATCGCTACCAATCAAATTTTTTTAAATATATATTTAAAGATAAATTTGTTATCCTTTTTGCTTTTAGTTTTTAATTGCAGTTGTATATATATATATATATATATATACAACTGCAATTA